CAAACAACACAAATAGCACAATTGGTTGAATTTCCGCAACATCCATAGCTGACGTACATAAAGTATAATTACGAAATGAATATGTTGTTTGTATGCCAAAGTGGAAATACAAAAGCAATCCTCTTTTAACTCATCGCAATGATTCAATTGCTATTCAAATCTGAACATTGGTTCAAACCAAGAAATGTGTTTCATATTGTTTGATGAATATTTGTATTACTGCAGCCCGTTCAAGCGAACCATATTTACTTGTTTTTACTTACAAATATACAAAAAATACAGTCATCTTGTTATTGACCTAACTTTATCGAAAACAATATTGAATTTACCTTCTGTATCTATTGTTGCTTTTCGTACCATTAATATGGTGTCTTCAATAACATGTGTGGAACTTTTCAAAACTCTTCTCATAGCTGAAATACATTTAAAAACTTTGTTTAAGTATGGACAAACACTGACATAAACTCAGTTGACTGGTTTACTGTACACTAGTTAACATTCAACAAATATAATCTGAATTAAAATAAATTCTACTTAATCATACATATGTTCAATACTTAAAATGTAAGACATGTTTAATTACACAGTCGTAATTTACTGAATACGATTATGAAACTCAAAATATATCAATATGTCAGAAAAAAGCAATAAGTCTTATATTGCACACTATTTTGTACTGACCATCATGGTTTTCAAAGGTAACAAAAAACTTGTCACCTTCCTGTCTACATTCTCTGACATCACCACCTCCAGACCGGCGTTCGTTGTCAAAATACTGTTCGATTGTTTCAGACCTCACGTGTTGGCCGCTACCAGTTACTTCTATAGTACAACATGAGACATCTGCAGGCAAACAAGCCGTTCCTGAAATAAGATATATAACCTCAGATACTATATTACCATCCAATATACATATACACGCTTTTGAGTTTCTCAATTCTAAACAAAGAAAAGCTACAAATTAAACATGTTAATTGTATTACCGTCGTTATGCGCACTTATGCCAATAAAATATTTATTTGGAGTTTCTAACAGGCTCTATCAGGATACTACTGACAGTTACACAATACTGTGTTATATTGGTGAGTTGGAATTTGTGCCAATTCAGTGCAAGAAAACAATTGTTGATTGTCATGTTGGCCATGAGTTGAATGTCGACCAACATAGAGAGATTGATGGAGTTATGAGAGAGTTTTCTGATGTTCTCACTGATTGTCCTGGAAAGACTAAAATTGGTGAGCATGATATTAAATTGGTAACATCTGAACCAGTTAGGTCAAAACCATACCCTTTACAATTCGCTATGGCAGATATAGTGAGGTCAGAGGTTAAGAGTATGTCAGAGATGGGTGTAATTGAACTATCAAATTCACCTTATGTCTCACCCATTGTTTTGATGAATAAGAAAGGAGGGGTGTTAGGTTTTGCATTGATTTTCGCAAACTCAATCGCATTACAGTGTTCGATGCAGAACCAATGCCATCACCTGAAGACCCTTTTTGACGATTAAAAGGGGGTCGGTACTTCACCAAGGTGTACTGGCAGATCCCCATGAGTGAGGAGGCTAAAGAAAAGACAGCCTTTCTCACACCTGATGGTTTATTTTAGTTTCGGCGCAAGCCTTTTGGGCTTGTGAATGCACCAGCCTCTTTTCCCCGGATGATGCGTATTTTGTTGGTAGGTTTTGAAGGTAAAGTTGAGAATTTAATTGATGACATTTTAATTTATTCAAAATCTTGGGAAGAGCATGTGCAGATTGTGCATGACGTTTTGGCTCGTTTAAGTAAGGCAGGTTTAACTGCCAGACCTTCAAAATGTTTCTTTGGTTTTAATAATTTAGAGTTTATTGGTCACCAAGTAGATGACGGTTTTTTGCAAGTATTGCAAGATAAAATCGAAGCCATACAGCATGCAGCCAGACCTGGAACAGTAAAGCAAATAAGGTCATTTTAGACATGGCTGGGTACTATCGCAAATTTGTACCAAACTTTGCAAAAATAGCAGCACCTCTCAGTGATTTGACCAGAAAAGGTCAGACAAGGAAGGTAGTCTGAGGAGATTTCCACGTGCCTTTAATCACTTGAAAGTTTTATTGAGTAAGCAACCAATTTTAAGGTTGCCTGATAAGGGTTTTATTTTGAGATGTGATGCATCAGGGGTTGAGCTTGTTGCAGTTTTATTTCCAGTGGCATATGCCAGTCGTTAATTGCTAGCCAGAGAGAAGTCTTATTCTGTAATTGAAAAAGAGTGTTTGGCAGTGATTTGGGCATTGCATAAATTTCACCAATATTTATATGGTAAAGAATTTATTTTGGAGACTGATCACCAGCCATCAAATTATTTAAACAAGGCACGAGAAGTAATCAGTAGGTTAATGCGGTGGGCTACCGCATTATAGCAATTAAAGGTAAAGAAAATATAGGTGCAGACTATTTAAGCAGGATTGAGAATGGTTAGAATTCCTGATACAATATTTTTTGCAATTTTGAGAAATGTAAATTTATTGGCAGTTGATGCTGATTATTGGACTGAAAATGCGCCATGTCCAGTATTGATGAGGGGGCAATGTCAGCATCCTTTATTTCATGTTTTGTCATATTACCCCAAACACTGCAAATGGAAGTGTGCATGGAATCATAGTAAGAAACTGTGTGTATTGTGATAACTGTCATAAAGGTGATTGACAGGTCATACTTATGTTCAACTCTGAAAGGATAGTGGGTTCTACCAGGTGTGCGTGTAATTTACATAACAAAGGGTGTTTACAACTTTGGAAGGAGAATTGGAATCTACCAGGTGTGCCGTTATTTGAATAACAAAGGATGTTTATGATCTACTGAGTTGCCTACGTGACACAGCTGCTAGGTAAGATTACATTCTGATGTGTAAACCCTGGTGGTGTCACTGCCTATAAATTGGACAGACTAAAGACAGTTTGGGTGGATTATTTCAACTTGGTTTCCGTCATTTCAACTTGCTTTCCTGTGTGTTCTGCTACGATATTGTTTGACAAGTGATACAGACTACAACCATCATTTTGTGAGACTTGTATGAACTGCTCTGCGATCTCTTGCTTTCAGTGTTGCCCCCCAGAATACCAGCGTTCCTCTGCAAGCAAGACTCCTGTATTTCCCCGTTGTTGTGTTGCAGAAGCAATTGACTGTCGTCCAATAATACATCCTGGAACTGTGAGTTATCACCAATGCACACTTCCCTAAGCAAACCCCTATTTTAGTGACTTTATTCATTGTACTTTTCTGTGCTTCATTTCTTGTAATTATTTTCAGAGGTATTAAAGCCAGGAGCTTTAACTCGATATTGTGGTGTATGTGTATTTCATTTCCAGTACTATTGTCTTGTCTACCCCATACTAGCAGTGAAAGAACCCCCTGCCCAGTGTGGGTTCTGTGGGTGGCCCTGTCAATTGCGATAAGCAGGCCTTGCACTGCGACACAGGCTTTTATTTTCAGTACAACCGTCGACAACATGCGACGGGGATTACATATAAACGTAAAAGTACATTCATTGGTAATTGTAACAGTGTTATTGAGTGTCTCTATTGGGAAGGGTATATAATCAATTTACCTTCAACGTTTTCAACAGTGCTCATGTAAGTTCTTGCTGCTTGTTTTACCAAAAGTGTTGTATTTTTCATAAAATGGGTGGGTTGTTCCAATACACGTCTCACAACTGAAAAAAATACGTCAGTGACTGTAAAGAACTATCAGACAATGAAAACAATAGTGCTCACCCCAATCATGGTGATTGCAGAAAAAATGTCCGCAAATTTGGATCTCATACTGTGTTTATTTACACAATTGTATTGTTATATTTTATACTAACCATCCACATTTTCAAAAGTCACGAAAAACTTGTCACCTTCCTGTCGACATTCGCTGACATCGCCACCACCAGATCGACGTTCGTTATCAAAGTACAGCTCTATTGTTTTTGGACTAGTGTCTGGGTCACAACCAGTCACTTCTATGGTGTAATTAGTTTCGTCATCAAATACATCAACTATTTCTGAAATGAAATGTATAGTTTTATAGTTGAAATAGGCAAACAAAACAAATAATAATTGGTTGAATTTCCGCAACAACCAATCTGAACATTGGTTCAAACCAAGAAATGTGTTTCATATCGTTTGATGAGTATTTGTATTACTGCAGCTCGTTTAAGCGAACCATATATTTACTTGTTTTTACTTATAAATTTTACTACAAAAATATAGTCATCTTGTTATTGACCTAACTAT